TGCATGGAATGTGTCTGAGTATGCTTCACTACCGAATTGATTGGGTGGGGAAGCTAAGTGCAGTGTTTTTGTGGAGTATGCTTGCGTTAGTCGAGAAGACGTTCCGGAACTCTCATTTATCCTGCTAGTTATTTACCACTTCACCTCTACATCGCCACATTGATGATGATTGTCTCCGGAGCATGGGTTTACTTCTATCCTCCATCTTTTAGCAACAATAACCTGTGCACTGATGCACTACTGCCAGATTTTGCTTTTGAGATGTGTGGGTGAGTTTGAAGATTGCTTCACCTAATCACAGTTTGAATTCCAATTAAAGTAGTGAAGTGTTGCCAAAATCTAGATAGACATCGAAGATGCAATGAGCGGCAGGCGTTAGTTGTATAATATGTCTCGTTTGTCAACCCACCATATTGTAATAATATTGTGCTTTGGATTTGAAGAAGACAGAAGACCAACCATTTCCACGCTGAAGTGCAGTGACTATCCGAACGACACAATGAACGATTACATTGATGCAGCTAGTAAGAGCACCAGTGAATGTTTCATTGTGTAGTCCCTAGAAATTGTAAGAAGTATAGCGAATATTGCTTGTAAATAAAAAGGCGAAAATGGTTTAAGTCAAAGCCACTAATTCCGTAAAACAGACAAGTCCACTTACCAATCTTGCAGAATAAGCAAGATCATACGCAACCTGCCAGCGTGTGGTTAGATGCTTGTCATTTATATTTGCATATTCTTCATGTTTCCGCACATATCTTCTGAGAGTGGCTGTAAGGCACAAGCTGCACTTCGGCAAACACTGCCATTTCACCACAAGGAATTTATGAAAGGCCATGCAAATTTAAGATGTGGATGTCAAATAAGAATAAGGTTAGTATGTTGTGGTGTCCAGGTCAGCAAAACTCTTACTTTTATAATAACTGCAAAATGTGATAAGGGGCGGTGTGAGAAAGACTCCCATCAAATAGACTACATCAGCGTGGAAGGTGTATGAAAGACAAATGGACATTTCTTAAAGCAGAGGGACAGGTCATGCTGAGGGCAATTGCGATTCGCATCTGCGTGGCATATTGCAAGGGTATGCATCCACAGCATCACTTGCGTTTCCTGATCATTTGTTGTTTTCAGTTTTTCTTCATTCATGGTTCTCCCTTCTAGCTGATGCATTTTTGATGAGGTAAAGTGTGACAAAACATTTTTTTTCTTAAAGGCGACCAAACTCAAAAGTTGTGAGGTTCTCGGGCTGTTGGAAAACCAATGAAACCATCGAATATGATGAATTATCGGCACCGTGACAAATCGGTACTTGTATTAACGTGGTGATTTACGGAAGAAGTCTCTAAAAAGAGATTAAGTGATATAATTTGGGGAGAATGGAGCATACATTTGAATATACCATCCTAGTGTTTTCGATTGAGTTAAACAGTTATAGTACGCTCATCTCTCTCCCTTACAATCATTGCGTTTAGGTGGTATTCTTTGCAGAGTCAGGACCAATGGACGAAATGTCAATTGGAAACGACAGATACATGCTCAATGACGAGGTTTAGGGCAGTCTCTGTCATCAAAGCAGAGGTACATCACAAATTTTATTATTTATTTGCCTTTTAAGCAACAACTAAATTATTTAGAATCTGCACTCACTTATTATCAATGTATTTTAAAGTGCAAAATAGTTAATTGACTACTTTGCTTTTCTTTCAACAAATCATGATAAAATGTCGATTGTTTAGTGCGTTATCTACGTTTGAACAGAACTAGAAGATTATAAAGTAGGGGTAAAATGCGATATTCGATGTGCTTGACTGCTTAAAAGCACACCAAGTGTTACACAAAGCTTAAATTGAACATACAAGTTGACAAAATGCCTGCTACTGAGGACAGTCCATAATTTTATACAAAATTAGGGAGATGTATATTTCGCGCTGACTTCGCTACTTTTCCAAACACAAATCTAGCATTTTGTAGCACATCGAGGCACGAAAATAACTTGCATACCAATAAAATAACAAGTGAATTCTAAAATGACTTGGATTATTAAAAACTTGGCTTTAATTAAGTCTTGCAGGTGAGAAATTTATGTGAAAACAGACTCACGTCAATCAGGAATGGAAACTAGTGCAACGCTTCAAAAGCATTCCACCCCGTCCTCCGAGTACACCGCCAATCCCATCACCTCAGAGCAAACATGCATTGTGAATGGTTACAGTCACCCTCCCAGCAAACCACATGGAACACAGTACACAGGTCCGCAAAGCCAGTCATGTCGCATTATAATAAAATGCGGTTCT